AATGCCAAATATGATAGGCAATGAGTTGGCCCCTCAGTTCCTCTGCCAGTGAAACCCCCGGTTCCACTGCCAGCTCCTGAAAAACAGCGAACAGCCTAGCACACTCTCCTGCCCCAGCCAAGCCTGCAAAAAGAAAACCTTCTAAATAATGTGTGACCTTATCTGACTCAGCTTTCTCTGGGAAGGCCCATTCCACTGCTAAATTTTTCAAAGGCAGAGCAAGACATAGAGCAACTCATGGGAAGCACCTGGTCGAAACTGGCCTTTAAACTGAAGATCTAGGAACTCAAAATACTTTAGGTGAACAGGTAGCAAACAAAAGGCTGACTTTATGTCATGTTTTGCCAACATGACTCCCCTACCTAACCATGACCTAACCATTACCGTGGCTGAATCAAAAGATCCATAGCAGACAGAGCATAGCTCATCCAGAATGTCATCATTAACTGATTCCCCATTTGGGAAGGATGAATGATGAATAATCCTAAATTTCTCAGGTGCCTTTTGGGGAACAACCTCAAGAGAGGACAAATACAAGGATGCACATGGCAAAACTGGAAAGGTGCCCCACAATCCTGCTGTCTTTCATCTCCTTCAATAATTTGCTCGCTACCTGGAACTGACTGTGGTTCAGATCATGAGCTACTCATTGCAAAATTCAGACTTAAACTGAAGAAAGTAGGGAAAACCACTAGGCCATTCAGGTTTGACCTAGATTACATCCCTGACGAATATATGGTGGAGGTGAAGAATAAGTTTAACGGACTAGATTTGATGGAGTGCCTGAAGAACTATGGATGGAGGTTCGTGAGATTGTACAGGAGGCAGCAATCAGCACCATCCCAAAGAAACAGAAATGCAAGAAAGCAAAGTGGCTGCCTGATGAGGCTTTACAAATAGTAGAGGAAAGAAAACTACTTAACGAACACTTTTCATACCGTGTGTTAGATGGCACAAACCTTAAATCCAAGAGTCAAAAGGCCATAGCACAGACATTCTCTACATTGCTAGCAATTGCAAATCAAGCATCACATATAGTCCGGGCCTTTAGTCCATCAGAATCCAAGCTAGTTCCCCGCCCCCCAGGTTCTTAGCTCCATTATATTTTTTGGTCAAGCAACATCAGGCAATGATGACATCCCATCAGCACACAGTCTTGATGGAATCCTCTAGAAGATTACCTCACCACTCTTGACCTCCCCCTTCCATCCTGTAACTGCAGGTTCTCCTGAGAAGCTAATTAGCATGTCTTCAATACTGGCCTTGAAGATAATAAGAACTATGTAGGCCAAGAGATCAATTAGTAACACCTGCAGAGTGAACGAGCCTATCATCATTCACATTAACCCTTGAGGGGGAAAGCCAGGTATGGTTTTCCTCATAGGGTTATTTCTCAACTCAAATATATTGTACTTTGAATTCCATTTTATGTTTCTAGTCTGAGGACTTTTTTGTCCTAATTTTCTCAAGGGTGCAAGAAGTGTGACAGAAAGGTGTGATTTTTAATTTACACCGAAATTCTTGGATAATGATTTTTCACTCTCTCTTATTGATGCTTAGCCTAGAGGAAGAGTTGCATGGCTACTGGTTGTCATACTAAGTCAAACCTAGTGCTGTAATTCTCAAAGATGTTGCACCCTTCTAGAGTTTTGTAATCTAACAGAGGAATATCAGACAAATTACACTATATGAAGACTAGGAAAATCCCTGGCTGGATGCCAGGACATTTAATTTATGCTACCTAGGCATTTGAAACACTTTGTCTGTTTAGTTATACTTCCCTCTAGAAATGTGATCCCCCCTCCGATCTTTCCTTATTTTCTTAGACTCTAAGAAACCATAAAGATGGCAGGTTCTCTTTTAGGAATGGTGTTTTAGTTACTTGGAGGCACCACGGTTTGCTAGACCTCTACTGTGGCTCCACTCTATTTTATCTGTTTGTACTGTAATCCGCTTTCCTTCTCCACACTGTTGTGAGGCAAAATTGGAATCCCATTCGACACAACAATGCAGAAAGGAAAATTGTTAAGAAGGCCAGAGAAGGAAGCACAGCAGCTGCAAGGTTACTTGGTGCCTGCTTGAGAGCAATTCAAGGTACGGTTGTCATCTCCATGCAGTGAACTGGCAATCCCACTCATCCATCTCTATGGTACTGTTTGGGGTGTGTGGGAGTATGTCTGCAGTCCAACTCAACAAGATACCGGTTGCAAATCCTTTGCTCATTATCTGAACAAAGCCTTTTGACGTTGCCACCATGGGGTCTCCTGCTATAGCGGGAGATGTACCAGCCTGAGCCCCTTGTTCCCTACTGCTGCTCAGCAAAGTGGCAGGGGGGAAAAAGGAGGGAAGCAATTCAGTGTTGCACTGACACACAGTGTCACTTCCAGTGCAAAACCTAAATTAACTTCATCATGTCATGGACAATGCTCTAGGATTCATCCCTCATAACTCTAAAGTAAAAGGAGAAGGGACTCTTTCCTATTGGCCCTCAGGTTGTAGTGTGTGTGTGGGGAGGTGTCAAGGCCTCCAATGAGTGACACCAAAGAGGAACTACCTAGAGAGACAGATTCTTTTATTCCCCCTATGATGGTTCTCAACAGGGCTAGACTCTTAGGCTGTGGTTACATGGCAAGGCAATTGCGCTTTGTTCCCGATGTAATTAAAATTGGATGTTTTTTTCCAAGTTGGGATGTTCACACATCCCTCCCTGAACTGCAAGCTCGTCTTCCCCGCCTGCCCCCCTCCCCCCCCAACTTTCCAGCCACCGGCCCGATGAAAAGAAAAGAAAAAGGCACCTTTGAAAGAGTTCTCCTTTCTGCCCGATGCTGCTGGTTAGCTGGGCACGCTCCCTGGCGCCGGGGGCTCTCTCCCTTCCTCCTAACGCCACAACTTCGGGGACTCCTAGGGCGGATGCCAAAGACTGATCACCTGACAGCCCACCCCCCAGCTCCCTCCCCCAGAATCTTTCAATGCCGCCTCCATGCCGGGGGACGGCGGGCAGGACTTTTCTCCAAGCAGGATGAGTGCTTGTTTACTCAAACGCTCAAAGCCGGAAGGGATTTAAAAAAAAAATCGTGCAGAGTGGTCAGATGGCCCTAATCGCAATCATTGTGAAAGATTGCTGTCCAGATGGGTGAAATCATGCATTCAAAGCGCAAGTGCCAGGAAAATACTTGATTTTCCCAGGGGCAGGAAAACCCGGGAGCATTGCGGTAGTGAGCCTGCTTCGGTATGGGAGGCGGATTGGCACATGTGAACGGAAAATTTAAATGCGAGAGGGAACAGCGGCGAACCCCAATCAAATGGACCGTGTGACCACAGCCTTAAAGTGGTCTTCCTATAAACAGGTTCATTCCTCACGTGTCTTAGAAAATATCTTGCCGTATATAGAAAAGTAAAGGTGATTTTCAAAAGTATGCATTATGTACCTTTTAAAAAATTATCCCCTCTATTTACAAGTTTTTGACTAGTTTCTTTGTGGAACAGCAAGAGTTAATATGCTTCATTTTCTATAAATGTCTGTGTGACAGATTCCCATGTGGTTTATTTTTTCCCCTTTCTGCAAAATGTCAGCCATTTCCTGATGAGTGTGGTGGTGGTGAATTTCACACCTTTCTCATATCTGTGTGGAAACCTGGGTGTTAATGGTGCGGGATCTGGGAGTGTTCAGTGTTATAAAGAATGAAGCTGCCTGTTCAGAACAGAGGAAAACAAGGATAGAATACTAAAAGCAGATGAGAACAGCCATCATCAAGCTGGCTGCATAGAGCAGGCTTTGATGTAGCATGCCAAATAGTGATATAGTAGAACAAATCATTATCGGGTAGGTGTGTGGAATAGTCCTCCTGCAAGGAAGGACTGTTATACAGATTTGGGGGGGCAAGAGTGGACTGAACATTGACTCAGAGATTTAAAAAAAAATGCTTTTACATTTTATAGTGGAAGTTACCTTCAGAGCACATGAAGATGGAAACATGGTCAGTTGATGAAGTCTGCATCTGGTTGGTACAGAAAAACGTAGGGGAGCAAGTTCCTAAATTTCGTAGTAAGATAATTTAAAGCATGCATGCATTTATGTACGTGCCTTTAATTTTGTGTGTGTGAGTGTAAAGTCAGACAGATAGTAGATAGACGATAGATCAATTGATAGATCGATCAATCAATTCTAGGAATTAAGGATGGAATAAATGTACAGTGCAATCCTAAACATGCTTAACAACCCTCTAATCCTATTTACTCTGACTTGGAAAGGTGTAACTCTGATTAGGATTGTACTGCAAAACTTGTTAAAAATTGGGATTGCAGGGGTTATTTGTAAGTATTGTTAAAAAAAATCACAACTAGTTTTTTTTGGAATCTAAACCTCGAAAGACATTCTGTGAAACATGATGCATGTTTCTATTTTAACGAATGCTGCATTTTTTATGTTTAACTAATGTATTTTGTATAGTAAAAGTTTGCTTCCTAAGTGCAGGGTGAAAAGGCTATAACATGCTGAGAGGGTAGGGTTTGAGTTTCCAGCCTCAGAAAAGCTTTTGCTTTTCTGTATGCTGGACCTGAAACAGACAGAGGACTTAATTTATGTCCAGGCTTTGCCCCATTTAGGACATAGCCATGTGAACACTTGAAGCTGCCATAACGAGTCTTTGAGCTTGTGTAGAATACTTTCCCCTAAGGCAACCAGAACCAATCTATACAGAAACCTGGGATTAGCAAGGGAGGATTCTTAGGATAGCCTTGGCTGCCCTCTCCTTAGGAATTAAGCACTGAGCACACACTGAGCCCATGAAGTCAAGAGCTTGGGTAAGAATATCAATATTCTGACACAGCTGAAAGGGGAAAGTGTGTGGTCCAAATTGATTGCTTGTTACAGTTTACACTTCCTTTTAAATGTGAACAAAAAGACTGGATGCCTTGGGGATACCAATTGCCTTTAAACATCCTTCTTCTTGCAGCAAAGGCAATCAATAGGTAATGATTCCTGGCTTCTTCTCTTAGAGGAAGAAGTGCGCGGAGCTGCTCCCTTGGCTCTTAATGACAGGATGATCCAGCAGCTGGTGAAGAAGACTGGGCACCAGGCAGTGCTAATGGATCTGATTACGAAATGCAAGCAACAGACCAAAGGATCGGTGTTTACTTGTGAATCACCTTCCTCTCAGTCACCAGGAGCAATGGGAGGGTATGTCTGTACAAATTAAGGAAATAGAAATGCCAGCAATATGCACGCGTAAGACAAGCTCGCCACTGCAAATGCAAGCATTTGTTCATTTTAACACTTGCTGAGTTGTAACATGACTTTGGAAAGTCTGCAGAACTGTACACTGATGGGGTGTTCTTGAACAGGATTTCTTTTTAATCTCCTATGTTTATAAAGCTCTCTTGTAATGTTCCATTTGATGTAGTTTGGTGGTGGTACTCAAAGAAGAGGTGATGGGGCTCAACCCAAACTGGAAGTTTTACTCTGTGCTCCAAGACTACTTTTTAATACCAGATGTGTGGGGCCCATGTATGGTTACTCAGTTTACAAGACAAAAATACTTAGCACGTGCCCAGAGGTATTGTTTTCTTTCTTACTGTTTCATATGCTCCAAGACTCAAGGGATCATATGATCAGTTCGCAGTAGGACTTTTAGCCCTTTTTTGGTAAATTAATCCCATTAGTCTCTTATTTTGTAGATAAATCTTGTTTTATTGTGTTAAGTCCGGCGCTTAACAATGAGTCGAAGAGTGATTTCAGCAAAACTCAGGTTTATTCAGCTCGATAATCAACTTCTCCAACACGGTACAACTCCTCATAGCCCGAACAGCTTTTGCATTGCAGCTGCTCGGTATTTAAACATTCCGGGCTAATGTAGCCACACCTACTATACAAGTACCAACCTATCAGGTTGTTCGCATAATAGCTCAATCATTAGCTTTCCTGCTTACATACAGTTCAAATGTGATTGGCCACAAAGTCTTCGACGCGAATCCCTGCCGAAGCCTGAAGCTTAACAAAGCTTCTCAATGGGGATGATTTCACATTCATCCTAGCATATTCAGGACAGCATCTGAATACACTACAAATCCCTCCCCCCTAAGCAAAAACACTATGAACAGTCATAATCACTCAGGTAGGAAGGTGCACGTCGATTTCTCTGAGATCTATGAGGTGATACAATCTCAGGGCACGGTTCCGTCAGTGGCACTCCATCGGACTCTGTAACCGCAGAGTCAGGAACATTCCCCTCTGTTTCAGTGGGTCCAAGAGTAGGGGTCTGCCCTGCCTCTTGCCCAGTACTGTGGCCCTCAGGCTCTGCAGTACTCGCCTCCTCTAGAGGTCGTGGGAAGTCCTCGGGGTCTGGGGACTCACTTGCCTCAACTGGTCTATGTGCCTACGCCACTTGCGACCATCAGCAAGACGTACCACATACATACGTGACCTAATGACATTTTCAATAGTGGCTGGTAGCCACGAATGACCACTGGCGTAATTTCTGGCATACACTTGCTCACCTTTTTTGTATGTCCGGACCTTCGGACTTTCGGTCTGCTGTGTGGGCTTTAAATCATTGAGATCCGGATGCAACCGGTCAAACAAGGTTGTCAAACGACGGCCCATAAGCATTTTGGCAGGGCTGCGGCCCGTTGTCGAACATGGGGTTACATGTT